CACACACACACACACAAACTAACTAACTAACTAACTAACTAGGGGCCATAGACCTACATTTCTTAATATATTGTCACACTGTAAATCAGAGCGCCAAGGCGGAAAAAAGCAAAACAAGGAAAGGAAAGGAAGGAAGGAAGGAAAGCCCCACCTGTTCATCATTACGTACAAGGCCAGCACCTAACTCTATGTCCCTCTTTTTCTCTCTCGCTTTCCTTTAAAGTCCCGGTCATAATGGGCCACCTCTCTTCACGCCCACCTTGGTCGACGACTTCCCCCTGCCCTCCCCCTCCTCGTCTGTCTGTTGCCCACTCCCATTTACTTCTACACCGTTAACGATTGCCCGCCATTCGTGCTCTCTTCTTCTCTTCCCCTCTCTTTTTTCATCCTCGCTTCCTCACTTGTTTCCCGAAGCAAGCCAGACTTGCAAACACAGAGAGAGAGAGAGAGAGAGAGAGAGAGAGAAATTACAAAGCGGGAGACACAGAGAAAAAATGACAACAAGAGAGACACAGGGAGAGAATAACAAAAACAGAGAGAGAGAGAGAGAGAGAGAGAGAGAGAGAGAGAGAGAGAGTGTGATTAAGCGAGAGGGGAAAGCAACTCTATGAAACAACTAGCCGTTGCCACATGAAGAAAGTTCACAAGGACTACGATGCCCATCCGTCGCTAATCCCCATTCCTCCCACACTAACAGCACCAGCTTCACCTCATTCAGCTGAAAAGGGTCCTCAGCTGAACGCAGGTACCCTTACCCTTGGAGCCCTTCAGCTCTCAGACGCAGGCTCCTCGGAGCACATCAGGTGCGGCTTTGCCACCGTCTCCCCCTTCAGCTCTCACACGCAGGATCCTCTTTGCCACCGTCTCGGACGCCGAAGAAGCGGGAAGGACCCGCGACGTTGAATATGTTATGTACGACAGTCGGGGTCGTCTCCTCCGGGCCAAGGTCCCACTTGCACGGATTAAGAGATTCTGGCCGTTGATCTTTGCTACCTACGGTCAATATCGCTTAATTCGTGTAAATGGGACCTTGCCCCCGGTTACATGAGAAAGAAGAACAGAACTCGCCAGCAAGAAAGACGACGAGAAAAACCAGCCCTCTCCGAGTTTGATTGGCCATTCCGATCATCTCTACGACGGAGAAGAAGACAAGAGAAACACGAGAATACATACCTGTAGCATAGGCGCGGTCATGGACGAGTCGATCGCCATGCACAACCCACGGCCACCTGCGGGCATTCGCCGGCCGGGACAAGGCCCTCTCACTACGCGCGATCCTACGGTACCGCTCAACCCCTACACCGTCAAGAGCAGGGTCAAGGATGAAGACGCATATGTTATGGCATAAGTTGTGAATGAAGACACAGGCAAAGCTAAGGTGATGCAGCGAACGACCTCAAGCGAAAAAGCGGCCGCCCGATACACGTGGCGCGCGCAGAAGATGCAGGGCGGATTGCAATGGCTAACGATACGCCAGAGCGGGGCCATTGGCAAAAAGCTTGGGAAGCCCGCCGTTGGAGCGAACCAGCCTGTTCCTCCTCACCGCTCAACTTCGAATTTGCAGTTCGCTTCAGCGATCGGCCCCGCGCGAAAAAAGCCCGCCCAGCGGGTCCCTACTGGGGAGAGCGGGGTCCGGGAAGTTTTCTCATTTTTGCGGTTTTGGCCTGCTGCTGAGGTGTAGACAATTCCCAATTGAGGAGGAGTGGACAGACCTGGAGAACTTGGGTGGAGGAAGAAACAAGGAGACAGGAGAACACTGGGCCCGGAGAAGACAGATGGTACAACCGAGGCAGAACTGTGGGAAGATGGAGCGACGAATGTGAGGGGAGGGGTGCGACTCAGGTACCTCGAACAGAAGTGCAGGTAGACACCATTCAGGGGGAATTATCCAAAACCTCACTGTCGTCCCGTTCGCGTGTCCGAATGGACAGCAAAGCGGAGGAGGTACCACCAAGCAGGGAACACTCCTCCTCTATGGAAAGCTCTGCACACTCCAGGCCACAGCAGAAAGAAGGGAGAGGAGTCACCTCCAGACTCTACGTAAACCGTGACAGAAGAGCAAGCCTGATAGACAGGAACCAAGCGGAAACAGTCAGACGAAGAATCGTGCCGCTGGTATGCACACAAGCGAGAGATGGCGCTTATTTCCTAGCACTCTCCAGTGCAGATGGTAGACCGTACATTCCGTCAGATGAAGTGGAAGCAGCCCCGACTCACAGCGTCATTTTGCAGAGGACGAGAAGTCTATATGGTGAACACATTCCGATCAGGGTGATTCCCAAGTCATCAATGATCAACATCATTTGCGAAACATCTAAAGGATAATACAAATTCTACTTTCCGCTCTTGGATGCACGGATCCCACCGGAGTCGGCTGAGTCGCTAACACAATCCGGCGTCCGCTGGTATCATATGGATGCAATAAGGGAACGGAATACTCCAGAACTCGAACAGATCTCTGTCTTCCACGAGATAAGTGCGCTCATTCTCCTCAATCTCAGTGGGAAGCTGCCTGCGGAAGAAGGCCTGCAGTCAGAATTTATGCACTCCATGCTGACGAAAGATTGGCCCACGAAATCGCAGGCAACTTCGTCTCGAGGGAATTCAAGGGCTAGCTTACGGTCACGTTCGATGTCGCAGGCAATGTCGCCAGCCAGGCCAGAGGCTGCAGAGAACCTTCAAGTCGATCAGAGCACCCTCGACCGCATCCAACCTCAAGCGGGCACACAGCAGCTCAATGGATAGGCTCAAGATTGCATCCTGGAACATTCAGGGACTGGGGGACACAGGGGGCAGGCAGAAGCGCAGACGAGTTAAGAGTTGGGTTAATGAATGGAGAATCAACTGCCTGCTCATTCAAGAATCCAAATTGGATGAAGAGAAATTGTTGGAACTGGGGAGCTGGTGGGATGGCCCCCAGGTCTGGGCCCCTGCACGGGGCACCAGAGGGGGCGTAGGCATATTGCTACACAGGGACCTCCAGCTGAAGCTCATCGATTCGGAAAGTGACATATGGGGTAGATGGGCTTGGGCTAGGTTGGAGTCAGGGGGAGAGGAGTGGGCAATCATGACGGCTTACGCGCCGACGGAGGCAGGTGATCGAGCCAGATTTTATGCCAGCCTGATGTCGCATATCCCAAGGATTGAGAATCTGATCATAGTTGGAGACTGGAACCTGTCTTTGGATGAAGCTCTGAAACCAGACTCAACTATAGCAAGTAGGAAAGATGTGCAGACCCTCTTGGAGCTAGCCGCAGAGTTGGAATTGGTTGATCCCTTCAGAGCCCTGAATCCAGAGGATCCAGGTTACACCTGGACATCTCATATTCAGCGCCAAAGGGGATCAGTGACCAGACGAAGGTTAGACTATTACCTAGTTGCTGAATCAGTCTTGGAAAAGGTCACAGCAGTAAAGGAGCTGTGCAATCCGCTGTCGGATCACAAACCAGTAATTGCAGATGTTAAACTAAGGATCAGCGCAGAGCGGGGAAAAGACTTTCTTAGACTCAACTCCCAAAACCTGGAAGATCCAGGCTTGGTGCAATGGGTAGCACAGCACATGAGGGATTGGGAGGAGGCCAAAGACCTATTCCAGTCAACAGAGGACTGGCTGGACGGGGGCATTGCAATTACGTCCAGCATGCTTAATGTGTGCTCAAGGATTCTTGCCAGGACACGAAATCAGAGGGAAGCGGAGTGCAAACAGAGGGTGGAAGAAGCAGAGGAAAGAATGGAGGGGCATCCGATCTCGGCCTTGACATGGGCAGTAGAAAGGGAGAAGAGATTAGCAGAGTGGGAGGAGCTACAATCAGGGAAGGAGCGAAGATGGACAAAGATTTTGAAAGAAAAGGGCATCGAGGTCAATGATAAGATGAACAAGGAGACCTTCCAAAAACTTCTCCCTCGACGCTCAATGCAGCAGATGGTGGAACTCAAACACCCATTTGAGGAAGCAGCTCCCACAGCATCTACAGCGGCAGGCATGTTGGACTATGCCAGACTGTACTACGAGGACATCCTCACTACCCGCCGACCACAAGACAACGTGCACAACGATTTGACGGAGTTCTCAGACCTGTGGGAAGAGACTTACGTGAAAATTCCTCCGTCAGCCAAGTTGGACCTGGACAGGCCCCTCACCTTGGGAGAGACCACACAGACTCTGAAATCTATGGCGAGAGGCAAGGCACCCGGCATTGATGGCCTGACAGTTGAGTTCTATTCCAAATGCTGGAGGGTGTTGGGGCCACCACTGGTAGAACTATACAATGAGGTGCTGGTGGGGGGCAGGTTAGGCAAGAGGATGACACATGGGGTAATCTCGGTGCTTTTCAAGAAAGGGGACAAGGCAGAGGTGAGGAATTGGCGCCCTATCTCCTTGCTAAATGTCTCATACAAGATTCTGGTTAAGACACTAGCAAGGAGACTAGGACGGTACCTACCCAGCCTAGTGGAGAGAGACCAAGGCGCCTTCGTCCAAGGGCGGTCCATCTTCAATAACATCGCAACCGCCATCGAGGTCCTAGAAGTTGTGCAATCAGAGAACTTAGACACAGCGGTGCTGCTGATTGACTTTGAGAAGGCGTACGACAAAGTGGGCTGGACTTTCGTCTTGACAACTTTGAAGCACATGGGCTTTGGAGAAGGGTTCTGCAAGTGGGTGATTGCGCTGTATACTCTCTCCACCTCCGCAGTAATGATAAATGGTCTGCTATCATCCCCATTCAAACTGTCAAGATCCCTGCGCCAAGGCTGCCCCCTTGCTCCGTTGTTATTCGTGCTCCAAATGGAAGTCCTTCTCAATCGCATCCGGAAGCATCCGCTGATCAAGGGCATCCGTCTCAATGAGACAAAGGACTGCAAGGTCAAGGCATTAGTCGATGACCTGTCTGTTGTTTGTCAAAACACAGTTCCCGCTCTATCTGCCTTGAAGACAGTCATGCAGGAATACTCGGCCTCGTCCGAAACCTCAGTCAATTGGTCCAAATCCACCTACTTACTACCAAGACAATTCAAATTGGCGGTGGAATGGGGAATGAGAAGGACGGTGGAGGGGGAAGAAGAAAGATTTCTTGGGGTATTAGTGAGTCTACAAATAGGTACTTCATCCCAAGGCCTACTTCTTCAGAGCAGGATCGCAGCAAGGCTAAAATTATGGGGATCCGCTTGGCACCTATCCTTGATAGGACGGGCCTTAGTGGCAAATGTGGCCCTCTTCTCCATCCTATGGTTCGTGTGGGCGGTCCGTGAGATTGCAGCGGGTGTCATCTCGACAATACTTCGTCTGGTAGCGTGCTTTCTTTGGAAACCAAACGCAAAGAAGGAGGAGGGCTTCGTGACCAAAGTAGCGTGGGAGTTACTCACTTTCCCACGTGCACAGAGAGGGTTAGGCGTGTGGGACCCAGCACGAAAGAACCAGGCATAACTGCGGTCCTGGCTAATTAAGGTGGCAACAACGGAATCTAAGGAAGACTGGATACTACTTGCAGAAAGGCTACTGATGAGGGAATGGGGTCTTAGTAGACCCAAAGACGTCTGGATTTGCTTCTTTATCGACTCATTCAAGAGGAGGAGACCGAAGTCGCTGTTCTGGAAGGCAATACTAAGAGCCTGGAAAGACCTTCCACCAGACCAGCCAACGCCTCCTGCAACCAGGGAAGAAATGCTAGCACAACACCTGTTCGAGAACCCGGCCATCTGCACACCAGAAGGGAACACATTTCCGACAAATGGCGCACTGGCGACCTTCGGACTCGCCTGGATGAAGAAGGGGGTGTCAAGGGTAAGAGACCTGTGGTCTCCCCTGCTCGGTAACAGGATACCGCTGGCGGAAATCAAAACCCAATTGCAGGGGCTTAGACGGGTAGAAGGCAACTAGGAAACACTCATTGAGGCCATCCCGCAGGACTGGAAAAACATACTTGGCCCAAAAGGTGTAGACCCAATAGGCACATGGTATGTGGCAGATGAACAAGAAAGGGAGGAAGTAGTATGGAAGACAACAGACATCCTGACCAGTGGTTTCAGGAAGGTAGAGAGATGGTAATGCGTGGGGGAAGAGAACAGGTTGGTGCTGTTGCGTGAAGAAGTAGTGCAACGGTGGAATAATCCCCAACAGGCCCGGATAGTGGAACGACAAGAACCAGGAGAACACGCGGTGACACGGATCTGGGTCGGTAGATCCTCGCTCAGGCAGCTACGGATAGATCCGCTAGCATGGAGTTGGAAAAAAATAGGCCCAGAGGGAGCAAAATCCGGGTCACTAGTCCTGTCCGAGTACAGTGCAAGGGAAGGCTACGAGCTGGCACATAGGCCGTCCAGAACACCGTCTTCAGTAACTGTCTAAAGGTGGTCTAAGGTGGTAGGAGATGCTGTTTTATCAGCAGAATCCAAATTCGAACGGTTGTGGAAAGAGTTGAAAGAGCTTCCTAATGGGAAGCAGGTAAGCATCCTATGGTTGCTGTCTCTCCTAGTCACACCTTCCGCTGTCTGGCTGCTGAGCCGAGGAGTGACAGTAGAGCTGGGATGTTCAAGGTGCAGATGGCCATTCGAATCCACACACGATCTGTGGTGGGAATGCCCCGCATCCAAACGAGTGTGGAAGTGGTGGGAGAAACACTGGAAGGAGATGGGGGGGGTACAGTTAAGAGTGGAACGAGCATTGGGTGCTCCTGGCTGGGGCTACATTGCCCAGGTGGTCAGAGGTATCATCTGTGAAACTATCTGGGGAGACAGGAATAGGGCAAGGTTTGAGAAACGACCCCGGTCGGACACAGAGATCAAAAGAAGAATCAAGGAAGGCCTCAAGCACGCCATCAGAGTAGACTGGCGAAGGAAAACCTGGGCATGGAAAGGCAGCAAGAAACAGAAAACCTGGTTCCTCCGTACCTGGGCGTGTGACAACCAGTTGGCTGCAATCCACTCAGTTCGAGGTTTAGTAGTTTCAAAATGGATTATGGAGTAGGAGGCTAGCGGAGTAGTGGATCAAAGTATTCTGTTAGGTGGGAAATCTCTGTGTGATCAGGGCACTCGGTCCCACAGAGATGCTGCAGAAGAGGTAGAGTGTCCACCCACGAACCAGGACACTCGGTTGAGTAGGGCCGCGGTGGGCTGCTTAGGTGAGTGTAAGTAGGAACCGGAAGTTTTTTCCTCTGGGCCGTGCTAGTCCCAGACCTTCACTTAGGGAAGGCTAGAGTCCATTGTTGATAAGTAGCTGCGCTCTACTAAGCAGTGGGAGGTAAGCCTACGTAGGAATAGGAGGTTAAATCCTAACTTAATTCGTAAGGCAAGCTACCATTATTCAAGGCCAAGTGAATGTGCGATGACACTTAGATCTGTATTATGGAAACCCTGTAGTATTGGGTCTCGCAGGCAATGCCTGTAAGCTAAGTTGATTGATGTTGTCAGATACTCCGGGTTGAAATGTGAGGTCCCCGGCCTCGAACCTGTTCTATAATGAAATGAGTACGACTGTTTAATGTAAAAAAAAAAAAAAAAAAAAAAAAAAAAAAAAAAAAAAAATCCCAATTGACAGTCCCCCCCAGTGCGTTGGTCGGCCGGCCCATACCTACACCTTCGGGTCAAAACGCAAGACGGGCTCAACCAAAATGTGCATGGACCTTGAGAAGGCATATGACAAGGTAGGTTGGCCGTTTGTCTTCACGACCCTGAGAAGGATGGGTTTTGGCTCCCCCTTCTGCAAATGGTTAGTGGCAATGTACACTGTCTCTACCTCAGTGGTGATGATCAATGGGCACCTGTCTAAGTAGTGTAAACTCTCTAGATCCTTGAGAACAGATCCTAATGAAGGAATGGGGCCTACTTCGTCCGCAGGATGTTTGGCGTTGTCTGTTCATACCCTCCTTCCGGCAGAGGAGGGTAAAGTCACGGTTTTGGAAGGAGGTCTTGAGAGCTTGGAACAGCTTGCCGCCAGACACTGGTACACAACCACAGACAAAAAAAGAAGTGCAGGCCCTTTTGCTGTTCGAGAATCCGCAAATAAGGGACAAGGATGGAAATCGGTTCGGGGCGGATGACTCACCAGGTTCCTTCCGGTTGGCTTGGATCCGCAAAGGGGTATCCACGGTGGGTGATTTGTGGAACCCCCTGGAGACGGCCAGCAGAATTGATGGAGGTCCTCAGTCCTCTGAGAAATGTGGAGGGGCATCTGCAACAGTTACTGAAGGCTATCCCCGAAGACTGGAAAAGGAGGCTAGGCCCGGAAGGCATTGATCCGGAGGGAACCTGGTACTGTGCAGATGGGGAAGAGGTGGAGGAAGTCTGGAAATTGATTGAGGTTCTCCCCATCAGTTTCAGGAGGGTACAAAGATGGAAGAGTGCACATCATTCAAATGAGCTGAGCTTCGTCAATGAGGAGATCATTCAGATTTGGAGGAACCCGCCACAAGCAAGAGTAGTGGGCAAAAGAGGTATGTCCGAGGAAAGGAGGAAGTGGGAGTAGAGAGGACACTCGCCATTAAGGAAGTTAAGGATTGATCCTGCAACATGGAGCTGGTCTACGGGGGACTTAAGGCAACCTCAACTATCCTTGGTGGAATACTCGATGGCAAAAGGCTACAACCTGAGGAAGAAAGTCAGCAACAGGAAACCTCCAGTGCAAGTGGCCATCAATAGATGGCAGACTGTGACTGTTGAGGATCTGTCAGAGGTGGACCCTTCATTCCTGGCCTTGTGGGACTCACTGACTTACCTCCCGAATGGCAAACAGGCAGCGATACTGTGGCAGATCTCCCTGATGGTAACCCCCTCAGCGGTGTGGCTGGTCAGCAGAGGCCTGCAGGTGGACCTCAAGTGCCCACGTTGCAGTTGGCCCTTCTGTCCACGCGGCACCTCTGGTGGGAGTGCCCAGCGTCCCGAAAAATTTGGAAGTAGTGGAAGTACCACTGACAGCGTTTTGGGGACACGGTGGTGGATTAGGAAGAGCGATGGGTACTGTTGGGGTTCCTCCCAGCAGGAATCCACAGGAACCGCGGTTGGCCCAACATTGCACAGGTAACAAGGGGTTTGCTGTGTGAGATTATCTGGAAGGATAGGAATAGGGCGAGATTTGAAAGGCGGCCCTTTTCGGACTTAGAGATTAAGAAAGCAGTGAGATAGGATTTGAGGGAGGTGATCAAAGTGGATTGGAGGAAAATAGTGAAGGCTGGGAAGGGGAACCGAAGGCAACTGCGATGGTTTTTGGACACCTGGGCACATCGTCATCAGCTGGCGGGGGTACACAAGACCAAGGGACTTGTCCTCTCCCCCTGGGTGACTGAACCAGTATAGTAGAGGTAGTAGTATAGAGAACGAACCAGGGCATCTCGGTTCGGGGTGCAGACCGCAGGAGGTCACTCAGGGGTGGAGGGAGGAGAGTGCCACTGGTAACTTGGAACGTACAGTTCCAACCAACCGTTTGTTAGTCTGGTGTCAGGCCGGTTTAGGCCTTGGGGACGAACTTTCGTTTGCCAAAGTCAGTAGGATAGGAAGTAGGGTAGTGAAACTCTTAGGTTAGTAGAAAGAGTTATGATAGAGATTTTTTAGTATGTAGATAGGTTAGAATTGACACACAGGTTACGAGCTGCTGTTTGTAAAAATTTTTGTTGCATGATGAGATACGTGAGACTGGATATAGAGGAATCCTAGACAATTGCCCGTAAGCTAAGTTGGCTGATGCTGTCAGATACTCCGGGTTGAATTGTGAGGACCCCGGCCTCAGAGTTGGAATTTATAATGGATGTGGAAAAAAAAAAAAAAAAAAAAGTAAAAAAAAAAATGCATAGAATGGAATATGGTATGCTTAGTTAAAATGACTCAACCAAAATGGCATAAAATGGAAGGGGGAAAGACTGAGGTGGGAGCTGGATACGTCCTCTGACAGGATCCTTGGGGGTTCCTAATGCTCACATTTAGACCACTTGTTGCGTAGAATAGTAATGTAGATGGAATATGGTCTGTTTAGTTAGTAGGTAGGTTATAGATTTCTTTTGTTCAGTTGAGGTGGTAGGACTGAGATTGTTTTCTTTTGATTGTTTGTTTTTTTCTGCCGTGAGGTATATTTTTTCCTCCTTTTAGTAGGTTTGTTGGTAGGGTTTTTTTGGTTTTGCTTCTTTCAATTAGGGTTGTTTGGCTTTTTTACCTTGAGGGTTTGGTTCTTTTTTTTTCCCTTTCTTTTGGGTTAGAAGCTCGGTGCAGTAGTCTGGAGCTCGTCATTCCTGCAGCTGGAGTCCTCTTAACACCAACACCTAAGCGGGGTAAAGGTCCCTAGTCCTCCTTTTTGGTCTTGAGTCTCCGGGTTGTTTGTGGAGGATTCCCGACCTCCCCTTGATCTTTGTTCTGCTATTGGCAATTACCTTTCTTTATTAAAAAAAAATAATAATAAAAATAAAAATAAAAAATAAAATTGCATAGAATGGTTGATGCTGTCAGGACAACACCGGGTTGAATTGTGAGGGTCCCCAGCCTCATTCCTGTTGCGAAATATAATTCATTGTGATTTTTTCTATTAAAGAAAAAAAAAAAAGGTGCATAGAAAACCTTTCTCGGCCTTTTGGTTAAGATCGGGTACCACCTCTGCTAGGACACTTTAATGTTAGCATATAGTGCTTGTGCCCGTAACCAGTCTCTAGGAGGGTGAGAGTTTGGCGCATAGAGGCCTCGGTGGGAGAGGTGACTACAGTGGAACCACTTAGGGGCTGGAGAAAGAGTAGACGACCTTTGGGGGGGGGTACTCCTCTTGTCCACCAAGATTGGGCGATTGAAGACTGGGGAACACATAACAAAAATAATCCAACCATAATATAACCCTGATAGGTATACAGGCTGGTCTCGAGTTCACCTAGGTGCACTGCCT